AGAATACTACAGAAAGCTATATGCCAAATTGGATAATCTAGAAGAAATGGATAAATTCTTAGAATTATACAACCTTCCAAAACTGAATCAAGGAGAAATAAAGATTCTGCATAGACCAATCACTAGAGATTGAAAGAGTAGTCAAAAACTTCCCAAAAGACAAAAGTCTTCCCCAGTGAATTCGAAGAAGGGATTTGGATAAAAGGGATCCAAATTGGAAAGGAAGAAGTAAGACTGTCACTATTTGCACATGACATGATGTTGTATATGGAAAACCCTAAAGAATCCACCAAAACACTACTAGAAATAAAAAACGAATACTTTTCAAACTCTTCCAAAAAATTGAAGAGGAGGGGAAGCTTCCTAACTCATTCTATGAGGCCAACATTACCCTGATGCCAAAACCAGGCAAGGACAGCATGAAAAAAGAAAATTACAGGCCACTATCACTAACGAAAATAAATGCAAAAATTCTCAACAAAATATTAGCAAATCTAATACAATGATATATTAAAAGAATCATAGAACATGATCAAGTGGGATTTATTCCAGGGATGCAAGGATGATTCAACATCCTCAAATCAATCAACATGGTACACACCACATTAACAAAATGAAGAATAAAAATCACATGATCATCTCAATAGATACAGAGAGTGCATTCAATAAGGTACAGCATCCATTTATGATACACACTCTCAATAAAATGGGTATGGAAGGAAAGTACTTCAACATGATAAAGCCCATATATGACAGACCTACAGCTAACACCATACTCATTGGTGAAAAACTAAAAACTATCCCTCTAAGAACAGGAAAAAGAGAAGGATGCCTACTTTCACCATTCTTTTTTTTTTTTGAGGAAGATTAGCCCTGAGCTAACTGTTGCCAATCCTCCTCTTTTTGCTGAGGAAGGCTGGCCCTCAGCTAACATCTATGTCCATCTCCCCCTACTTTATATGTGGGATGCCTACCACAGCATGGGTTTTGCCAAGCAGTGCCATGTCCACACCTGGGATCCCAGCCAGTGAACCCCAGGCCACCAGAAGCGGAACGTGCGCACTTAACCGCTGTGCTACCAAGCCGGCCCCTCACCATTCTTATTTAACGTAGTATTTGGAAGTCCTAGCTAGAGCAATTAGGCAAGAAAAAGAAATAAAAGGGATCCAAATTGGAAAGGAAGAAGTAAGACTGTCACTATTTGCAGATGACATGATTTTGTATATGGAAAACCCTGAAGAATCCACCAAAACACTACTAGAAATAAAAAACGAATACAGTGAAGTTGCAGGGTACAAAATCAACATACAAAATCAGTTGTGTTTCTATACACTAACAGTAAAATAGCAGAAAGAGAAATCAAAAATACAATCACAACAAAAAGAATCAAATGCCTAGGAATCAATTTAATCTAGGGGGTGAAAGGCCTGCACACTGAGAGCTGTACATTATTGACCTAAACTGGAGAAGACACACAGAAATGGAAAGATGTTTTATGCTCGTGGATTGGGAGAATTAATATAGTTGAAGTGTCCATATTTCCTAAATCAGCCTACAGATTCAATGCAATCCCTGTCAAAGTCCCAATGACATTTTGCTTGGAAATAGAACAAAGAATCCTAAAATTTATATGGAACAACAAAAGACACCGAATAGCCAAAGCAATCCTGAGAAAAAAGAACAAAACTAGAGGTATCACACTCCCTGGTTTCAAAATATGCTACAAATAAGTAATCGTAACAGCATGGTACTGGCAGGAAAAACAGACACACAGAGCAGTGGAACAAAATTGAAAGCCCAGAAATAAACCTACACATCCGTGGACAGCTAATTTTTTACAAAGGAGCCAAAAACACACAACAGAGAAAGAAAAGTCTCTTCAATAAATGGTGTTGGGAAAACTGGACAGCTGCATGCAAAAAAATGAAAATAAACCATTATCTTAGACCATACACAAAACTCAAAATGGATTAAAGACTTGAATGTAAGACCTGAAACCATAAAACTCCCAGAAGAAAATATAGGCTATACACTCTTTGACATCGGCCTTAGCAGTGTCTTTTTTAATATCATGTCTTCTCAGGCAAGGGAAACAAAAGAAAACAATAAACAAATGGGACTATATCAGAGTAAAAAGCTTCTGCATGGCGAAACCATCAACAAAATGAAAAGACAACCTACTAATTGGGAGAAAATATTTGTAAATCATATATCTAATAAGGGGTTAATATCCAAAATATATAAAGAACTCACTCAGCTCAACAACAACAGAAAGTAAACAACTGGATTTAAAAATTGGCAGAGGATCTGAACAGACATTTTTCCAAAGAAGTTATGCAAATGGCCAACAGGCACTTGAAAAGCTGTTCAACACCAATAATTATTAGGGAAATGAAAATCAAAACCATGAGACATCACCTCATGCACATCAGGATGGCTGTTATTAAAAAGACAACAAATGTTGGAGAGGATGTGGAGAAAAGGGAACCCTCATACACTGCTGGTGGGAATGTAAACTGGTGCAACCATTATGGAAAACAGTATGGAGAGTCCTCAAGGAATTGAAAATAGAACTACCATATGATCCATCTATTCCACTTCTGGATATTTATCCAAACACAGAAGCACTAATTTGAAGAGATATCTGTAGCCCTGTGTTAATTGCAGCATTATCCACAATAGCCAAGACTTGGAAACAACCTAAGTGACCACCAATGAATGATTGGATGAGGAGGATGTATATATACACAGTGGAATACTACTCGCCCATAAAAAGACGAAATCATGCAATTTGCAACAACGAGGATGCACCTTGAGGGTATTATGCTAAGCGAGATAAGTCAGATGGATAAAGACAAATGCTGTATGATTTCACTTATGTGGAATATAGAAAAGCAACCAAGAAACACATAGACACAGAGAACAGATTGGTAGTTACCAGAGGGGAAGGGGGAGAGGGGAGAGTGAAAGGAGTACACACCGCACACATGTACGGTGATAGGTGACAGTCAGACTTCTGGTGGTGAACACAGTATAGTCTTCACAGAAATTGGAATATAATGATGTACACCTGAAATTTATGTAATGTTGTAAATCAATGTTACCTCACTAAAAATTTAAATAAACAAAATCCTCAAAGGGTGTTATGTTTGTCAGATGCTTTGCCACATGTATTGGGATGATTAAATTGTTTTCTTCTTTATTTAGTTAATGTGATGAATTACATTGGTTGATTTTTGCATGTTAAACCAAATTTGTATTTTTGGGGCAAACCCCGCTTGGTCATGATCAATTATTTTTATATATTGCTATATTTGATTTGCTAACATATTTTTAAGGATTTTGCATCTGTGTTCATGAGGAGTATTGGCTTATAATTTTGTTTTAATATCCTTGTTTGATTTTGATGTCCAGTGTTTATGCTGGCCTCATCAAAGGTAGTTGGGAAGTGTTCCCTCCTCTTTTTTCTGGAAGAGTTTGTGTACATTAGTAGTATTTCTTACTTAAGTTTTGATAGACTTTACCAGTGATGTCATCTGGGTGTGGAGTTAATTTATGGGAAGTTTATGAATTGTGAATTCATTTCTTGAATGAGTATAGAGTGTGTTAGTCTGCTAAGGCTACCATAACTAAGTACCCCAGACTGGGTGGCTTGGGCAATGAAAATTTAGTTTCTCACAGTTTCAGAGGCCAGAAGCCTGAGATCACGGTGTGGGCAGAGTTCGCTCCTCCTGAGGCCTCTCTCCTTGGCCTGCAGATGGCCATCTTCTCCCTGTGTCTTCACATGATCATCCCTCAGTCTGTATTGTCTGTGTCTTAATTTCCTTTTCTTCTTCTTCTTCTTCTTTTTTTTTTTCCTGAGGAAGATTCATCATGAGCTGACATCTGTTGCCAGTCTTCCTCTTTTTTGCTTAAGGAAGATTCACCCTGAGCTAACATCTACACCAGTCTTCCTGTATTTTGTATGTGGGTTGCTGCCACAGCATGGCTGCCAACAAGTAGTATAGGTCTGCGCCCAGGAACTGAATGCAAGGCACCGAAGCAGAGCACACTGAACCGAACCTCTAGGCCATGGGGCAGGCCCCCTAATCTCCTCTTTTTATAAGGACACCAGTCAGATTGAATTAGGGCCCACCCTGACAGCCTCATTTTACCTTAATTACTTCTTTAAAGTCCCTGTCTCCAAGCACAGCCATATTCTGAGGTGTACTGGGGGTTAGGGCTTCAGTGCGTGAAGGGGGGCAGGTGTAATTCAGCACATAACCTGGGGTTCTTCAGGTTTGTGTGTAAGTTTGGTAACTTGTGTCTTTCAAGGCATCTGTTTCAGGGGTGTAATGTAGAGCATGGTAACTATAGTTAATAATACTGTATTGTGTACTTGAGAGTTGCTGAGAGAGTAGATCTTAAAGGTTCTCATCATAAGAATAAAAGCTGTAACTGTGTGGTGAGGGATGTTAACTGGACTTACCGTGGTGAGCATTTTGTGATATGTATGAATATTGAATCATTATATTGTACACCTGAAACTAATCTAACGTTATATGTCTGTTATATCTCAATAAAAAATAAAGAAACACATATTGCCCTCAAAAAAAGGGGACTCTAAGGGGCTGGCTCTGTGGCCAAGTTCAGCGTGCTCCACTTCAGCAGCCAGGGTTCGCGGGTTTGTATCCCAGGTGCAGACCTCCTCCACTCTTCAGCCATGCTGTGGAGGCGTCCCACATAGAAAGCAGAGGAAGACTGGCACAGATGTCAGCTCAGGGCCAATCTTCCTCAAGCAAAAAAAGACGAGGATTGGCAATGGATGTTAGCTCAGGGCAAATCTCAGTCACAAAAAAAAAAGAAAAAAAGGGAATTTGTTTCATTTAAGCTGTCCAATTTATTGGCATAGGGTGTTCATAATGTTGTTATCCTTTTAATGTCTGAAGGATCTATAGTGATGTTCCTTCTTTCATTTCTGATATTGATAATTTGTGTTTTTGATCTCTGTCTAAATACAGGTTTTGTTAGCAATTGGTCGTGACTCCTGTACAAGGAAAATAGGCTTGGAGAAGATTGGTGTCAAAATCAATGAGAAGTAAGTCCACATGCGGTCACTGCACTGTCGCCACACAAAGAAAAGTGTTTCTGCAGTCTCCTCTCGGAAACTCTCATTTCATTACTAACATGCAAAATTTTAATGCTTTAAATTTATTTTACATTAAGTACTGGCCTGCTCTCTATCACCAATTTTTTCATTAATCAATAAGTAACTATTATGTGCCTTAAAGAGCTCATGCATTGAACAGTGATTTTAAAAAATAATTGTGGAAATATATTCACCCATTATCTGATTTAGAGTGAATTTTTACATCCTTGGTCAGGCAAGGAGAAAAATTTTAGAACTCGAAGTACAACTCTGGGGGGAATCTGGGGATATCCTCGGCATCCACCAAAGAGCCCGGTTTCACCTTCCTCTGGGAGCCACAGCAGCCCGTGTTATTTGAAGCCACTGGTCTTCCTGACGGTTGATGACCCGAGGGGCATGCGTTCTTAGAGGGAGGGCTTTCTCTGGGTGTTTCGTCTTCTCCTCTTGGAATTGCGTTGGTCATCTAGCAGAATAGAGTCCGTCATAATATATTTTTCTTCTAATAGGAGTGGCAAAATACCAGTCAACGATGTGGAGCAGACCAACGTGCCCTATGTTTATGCCATTGGGGACATTCTGGAGGGTAAACTTGAGCTCACTCCTGTCGCCATACAGGCGGGCAAGCTGCTGGCTCGAAGACTTTTTGGGGGCCGTTTAGAAAAGGCAAGTTTCTTAGTGTTGTTTTTGAGATAATATCTAAATCAAAATTATGACTTAAAAATAATTATAAATAACACTCGTGCTTTTTTTTTTAAAAGATGGGCATCTGGGCTAACAACTGTTGCCAATCCTTTCTTTTTTTTTTTCCTGCTTTATCTCCCCAACCCCCCCTGTACACAGTTGTATATCTTAGTTGCAGGTCCTTCTAGTTGTGGGATGTGGGACGCCACCTCAACGTGGCCTGACGAGCGGTGCCATGTCCGCACCCAGGATCCGAACCTTGGGCCGCTGCAGCGGAGTGTGCAAACTTAACCACTCGGCCACGGAACCGGCCCCGCACTTGTGCTTGTTTTGCAAGTAAAGGGTTCTTCCCAGATCAATCATTTGCAGTTGACTATTTGCCAGTGGTTTTCAGTAAATATTTTTTGAGTATCTATGACACGTAAGATGTTGTGCTGGGTGATATACAAGGACGGGCATGGTTCCAGCTCCAGGGAGCTTCCCGGGTAGCTGAGGGTCATGAGCAAGACAGGAGCAGTTAATTCTGACGGAAGGGGTGGGAAAAGGTGTCCCAGGTGGACGGCGGCCATGTCCTAGGGTAGGAGGGGCGCTCCGCGTGGATCGGGCTGCTGGCGCTGGCGTCAGTATGTGCTTGGTGTGTGAGGCTGTCAAGTCCTTTCACTTCTCTGGGCCTCACTTTCACCATCTGCAAAGCTAACGGTGTGAGTTGGATGACTTCTAGAGTCTCCTTCACCTTTCATAGTCGTTGATCAAAGATTTGGAATGGACTTTGTAGGATGTACATTCAAAACTGAGGAAGCACAGGGCTTTTCTGGTGAGCAGATAAGGCGGCTGAAAGCCCGGAGCTCTGCAGTGCTGGCCTCACTCTCAGGACTGTGGGTGGCCTCAGGAGTGTCAGCTGGGGGAGGTCATGCCTGCTCCATCGGGAGCACTGTGGACCTGAGCGGGTGTTGGCAGATGAAAGGCCACTGGGGAGATGGCTCTACCGAATTAGTGGATGGGTGTCAGGAATGCTGATTGCACTGTCGTACACAGAATTGTCCCATCCACGACACTTACAGCATTTCGGGCTGCATTTAGGCAGAGCAGTTGGTGGGACAGGAGCACAATTGGGAGTGAAGTTGGAAATTTAATTCAGTGCCAGATCATCACAAATCCGTGATGCCACAATAGAGAATTGGTATGGCCTCCTCTAGCCAGCCCTGGTGGTCCAGTGGTTAAGATTCGGCGCTCTCACCCCCGCAGCCTGGGTTCCTTTCCCGGTCAGGGAACCACACCACCCCTCTGCCGGTTGTCATACTGTGGCGGCTGTGTGTTGCTGTGATGCTGAAAGCTGTGCCACCAGTATTTCAAATACCAGCAGGGTCACCCACGGTGGACGGGTTTCAGTAGCGCTTCCAGACTGAGACAGACTAGGAAGAAGGACCCGGCCAGCCACTTCTGAGAAAACTGGCCGTGGAAACCCTGTGAATAGCAGTGGAGCATTGTCTGACACAGCGCCGGAAGGTAGAGGATGGCGCAGAGGGACCGGGCAGGTTCCCTCTGCTGCACCCAGGGTCCCTAGGGGTCGGAATCCACTGGATGGCACTAACGACAGTGGCCTTCTCTAGGCAGTGGGAACTGTTGAAGACCTTTGTTTCCCCTAAGTTTTTGTTTAGAAAGAAGGTCAAACCTCAGAAAGAGTAGTAACCGTCACCCAGATTAACCTTTCACCCATATTCTGCAATTATTAACGTTGTGTCATTCTTGCTCTCTCGTTTTCTGAATATGTATATGTACAATACATACATGGGTTTTTTGCTGAGGTTTTGAAGTAAGTTGCAGACGTCAGTGACATTCTGCCCCTAAATACTGTAGCCTCTATCTCTTAAGAGCAAGGATATTCATCTCCATAACCACAATTCCATTACTGTGTCTGAGAAATGCAACAAAAATGCAATAATATTCAGATTTCCTCAGTTGTCCATTAGGGGTGTGTGTGTGCACTTGTTCTGATTCACACAATACATTTGGCTCCTTAGTCTCTTATTCTGATACAGCCCCCTGCCTTTATTTACCTGTTTTATTTTTCATGACTTTTATTTTTTTATGAGTCTCGGCTACTCTTCTTGTAGAATGTCTCCCATTCTGAACTTCTTTGCTTTTGCATGATTAGGTTCAGGTAAGCGTTTTGGGCGCATCTTCTTCATAAGGTGTGCTGTGTGCTGCTTATTTCATTGCTCCGGGTAGCTCGTCAGGTTGCGAATGAAGACCTTGCGGACACGTGGAAGCACTGGTGGATGAGGGGCGCCTGGGGCGTGGGGCTGCTCTCTGGCATCATTGAGTGGGGCCAGGAATGCTAACTGTACAAGGAATTACCCCCTCCAGAGTGCAAAGAGGAAATGTAGGTGGTGGCATCGGTTGCCTGAGGCTTTGAGACGTTCATCACGGTGCTGTGGAGTAGAGAGATTAGAAGACAGAGTACTGTGCGCGAGAAGGAGAGAGGTTAAAGGCACAGGACTGAAAGGAAGGCTACAGGTAGGGTGAGATGAAGTCACGTTCAAGGAGAGGAGACGGCTTAAGATGTGGAGAAAGTGTTTTAGGTGAAAGAGAGGAAAGCTGTGGAATTTCCTGTTGATTTTCCTTAATTGACATGAAACAGGAGACCAAGGCATCTGTTGAAAATGAGGCTGCCCTCTAAGCCATGGGATATGGGGTCAATAAATGGATTGACGAGCATTTGAGGGCCTAAGAGAAGTCAGAAAATACTAAGGCAGTCCACATTGTTGCGTGATTTTCTTTAGCTGTGTTGAAACAAAGCAGACATGCTTGGCTCCCGGTGCAGTGCAGGTTAGCAGATGTGAAGCGGCGTTAGAGCCCGTTAGTTACAGAATCTGGGCTGATGTACGTTGTGTACAAATCACCTCGCTGACGTCAAGACGGATACCTGGTAGCGTTGTGATTTATTTTTCTTTTGGGTAACAAAAAATAGAAACCAGGCAAATTGAGGGAGTGTCTTAGGAGGGTCACATGGCAAGAATAGTGCTGGGGCTGGCTCTGCGGTTGTGGCTGCTCCCGGGGCCCGTGCACAGGGACGCTCTCGCAGGCTGTGCTTCCGTGAGCCGGCTTGGCCACAGCTCTGCATGTGTGTCTCTTCCTGTCCCAGGACCACCTGGGAAATTCTTCCTTTGCTTCCAGTTCATTTTCCTCCAGAAGAAACAGTTTGATTGACATAGTTCATCTGTTTCTTTTTCATGGCTTTCTGGCCGGTTATGCATTGGCTTTCCTCGGGTGAGATGTCCACCCCTGACCTTAGCACCCGTCATGAGTTGGCGGGTTTGGGGGACATGTAGTGAGGGCTGTGGGCAGTGAAGCCCTTTGACGGGGCTGTGGGTGGGCAGGCAGAGACCTTCTCCTCTGTTGTAGCCTCCACCATTCCTCTGCCCCTGCACACCGCTGTCTCTCCACACAGTTTTAATGATGCTTCCGCCTGCGTGTTCCTATTCTTCTCCACAAAATCCCAAAGATACTCTCTCCTCCGGGAGGGACACACCTGCCTTCATACTCACTTTCCCACGGGCAGCTGCTGCAGCTGCTGGAAGACTGTGGGATGGTCTGGGACAGTCACTCAGTCCAGCACTGTTGGGCAGCTTCTTTGCCTATCCTCTCAGTGCCACAGTTACATGAAATGGCCAAGGGTGCCTCAGCTTCCAATGAAATGGCATAATTCTTGGTCACCTGGTTAAGGTGCTCCAGGGTGCAGAATCATGGGGATGGAAAGAAGACATTTTAGAATGTGTCTGTAGGGACAATGAAGTGGCGCCATCTCCACATCTCCCACTTGGTTTTCAGACCTTATGTCTGAAGTTGGGGCTCTGGGGGAGCCAATCCCATTCCTAGGTCACTGGCCAGTGTGTGGCCTCTGCCCTGGAGGCGGGCTCACGTCACCTCCTGTGGTGTAACTTAGAATCCTGACACGATGATATGTAAGAATCAGTTACACCGAAGTGGGCTGACTTATTTTCCTTTCATAAATGTGTGTTATAGTTTTTCACTGTAAAAATTGTCACAACTAAGAGAATGTAATTTGTTTATCTTTCAGTGTGATTATATTAATGTGCCAACTACAGTGTTTACTCCTTTGGAATATGGCTGCTGTGGATTATCTGAAGAGAAGGCTATTGAAGTGCATAAGAAAGAGAATCTGGAAGTAAGATTGTGATTTATTGTTTGCTTTTTAAGAATTTCTCTTTTAATTAACTATTTGTCTTCACAGTCACTCAAATAAATTGTCATTTTGCAAGTTACCATTTATGGTTCTATTGTAGGACATCATATTTCTATTTTAGGAAAATTAGAAATTAAATAATTTAAACCCTGTCTCTCTAGCACACTAATAATAATGATAGAGTTGAGGAAAGAGGGCCATACAATGTATGCCTTAGGACTTTTGAATTACATGTAACAAACGTCTACTTGAGGGAGCTTATACAAGGAAGCACAAGTTATTATAAGATCTTTTGGGAGTGCAGGAATGCATCAGGCCCTTAGGAAGGGATAAGAACCAGGAATTTGAAGACCATCTCAAGTCTTTCTTTTACTTGCTTGGGATTTATGTGTATGTGTGTGTGTGCATGCAGTTCATTCTTCTGTTTCTGCCGACAGACTTTATTTTCCCCTGGAATGCACATAGCAGCCAAAATAAGGCCTTTCTTCTGCTACCGAGTTTATCCAATAGTTCTGGTCTTTAGAGGAACTGATGGACTCACTGTTCCTTAGTCTCAGTTCCAAATTGTGGGAGAGGACATTTGATTCTTCTGAGCTGGGTCAGCTATCCACCCACTTCCATTGGGCGTGGAAGTGGCCAGCCTCCTCTCACATCAGTGTGGCTCTGGGAACCTCTGCTGTTGATGGGCTGGAGGTGGGGAGGGTTTTCAGATCCCAGGGTTAAGGACCTGCTGTGGGCTGTGGCCTATCGGACTCCCCAAAAGATGTCCTCCATACACCTCTTCCAGTCATAACAACCTTATCAATGTTTTCTTACGTTGTATTTTGGTAGATGGTTTCATTGGCTTTTTTCTGCACGCTCTCCCAACATAGGAGGGATAGGGAGAAATAAAAAGAGCTGGAGAGGGGCCAGCCGGGTAGTGTAGTGGTTAAGTTCGCATGCTCCACTTCAGTGGCCCAGGGTTCTCAGGTTCGGATCCCAGGTGTGGACCTAGCATTGCTCCTCAAGCCATGCTGTGGTGGCGTCCCATGTACAAAATATAGGAAGACTGGCACAAGTATTAGCTCAGGGCCAATCTTCCTCAAGCAAAAAGAGGAAGATTGGCAACAGATGTTAGATCAGAGCCAGTCTTCCTCAGATACACACAAAAAAATTGTTGGAAGATCAGTACTACTTGATGTTTTAAGCAAAAGAGAATTGAAATCTCACTTCTCTCCCTTGAAGATATTTTAATTTATTACTGGGAATTCCTTATAGCCATAGTGCTGATATTTCTAGTTAAACGGCCTAATGATGTACTGAAACTCTTATTTACATGTCTAGTGTTGGGAAAATGTATGATTAAAGCTTTATAAAGTTATTTTAGATGGGTGTTTTCAATGAGAAATTTGTTTTCGAGGACATGACTTGATCAGTGTTTATGGTTAATTCCTCGTAATAACGAGCCGCCCTTTCTGCAGTGGGTCTCAAGCGCTTTTACTTGGGTCTTGGAAAATTGATGATAACAGTTATGGATTTAACACTTAGTTCTAAAACTTTTTGAAATTAATGGGAAATTAAGATAGAAAGGCAGCCTTGTGAGAGGAAGAAAGTAGAAGGCCATACCCCAGATAAAGGAATGGCTTTGTAAGAAAAATGTTCCCCCAGTGTGTGGGTTACTGGAAAGTCTTTTTCCTGAGGTTTGCTGCACATCCAAACCTATTTTATGTATTTATTTTTTGCATTTGAAAGGACTAAAAATTTGATCTATTAGTATTTTTAATATTCTTATTATAAAAGAGATTTGAGGAAGTCTCTCAAAAATATATATATAATATTTTTTTGAAGTGAGCAAATCAAGGTGATAAAAATGAGGTGGAAAAAATAAGGTGGTGTTAGCAGAAAAGTTAGTTTGTTGGGTCACAAGATTCGTGCTTTATGGCCCTATAGATTTGCTCTAGGATTAAGCTATACATTTAATTGAATTCCAAGTTTCCTATTACCTGACTGGAAGAGGGAGAATTGAGAGCTATTTCTTCAAGTTCTTATAAAAAGGTTACTGAGATACGGTGAATAATATCCTTAAAATCGCCCTTTAGTAAATACAGTGATGGGTTTTATAGAGCTGTTTCTAGATCTGTTTCTAGAGCTGTTGCTAGATCCAGAAATGCAGCCCCATGCATAATGCCAAAGCACAGTACCATAAAAAAGGAATTCCTGAAGGGGCCAAAGAGGGCTGCACCAATGTGCTGCCCTCTGGGGGCCGAAAATTGTTTAATAGAAAATTTTATATTAGAAATGAGTGTCTAGAACCAGAGTTTTAACCTGTTTTCGTATGAATTCCTTTGAGAAGCTAATGAAATGTTTGCTTTCCAGGAGAAAAACCCTATGCATGCTGATATGTCTGAGCAGCTCCCTAATTCTCCCCTGTTGTCACCATCAGTAGTCAGTTCACCAGGAAGTCCTATCACGTTTACCCTCAGAATATGTCTTCTGTGTATCTACTTCCTCCATTTCCGTCCTCACTCTCCTGTTCTGGTCTACCGTGTCTCATGCCAGCACTACCACTGTATGCTTCCTCCTGGTTTCCTTGTTTTCACTCTCAGCCCACTCCACTCATCACACAGGAGGCAGAGAGAGCTTTTAAAAATACAAATCAATTATGCCATTTCCCCACTTAAAACTCTTTAATGATTTTCCAGTGCTCAAAAAATACAATCTAAACTTCCTACTGTTTGCTGTAAGACCCATTGCGTAATCAGGCTGTTCATGCTACGACACTCTGTCCTGCTCATAATGTCCGGTCACACTGGCCTACTCTTTGTTCTAAAAACTCACCATGTTCTTTCCTCTGGCACAATCTCTGGGCTTCTAGTTTCCTTTGCTTATCACTATGATATGTGAAAAAGCAAGGTAATCAACACACCTGCCAACACTAGAGAAAATGTTCCCCAAAGGAGACAGATAAGAAGTAGTGTTCTCCCTCCACTGTTGTAGTTCCCTACCAGAGACTGCTGCTTAGGAGAGGAGACAGAGAGGAAAAAAATAGAAATGTCAAGATTTCTCCTGAGTAAGAAAGCCCAGGCTCTCTTCCTAGTAAATACGTGTTCCGTGGAAGGAGTAGCCAGTGAAGAACACCATACACTGATGAAGGTCAAATTGAGAATCACTGAACTAACAAATACATTGGAATCACAGAAGCACAGGACTGAAAATAAAGGTAGTTACATAGGGATACTAGGGATGATACATAAGGTGGAGATAATTACATTTTAATGTGAAAGAAAAAAAGACAAAGCAAAAAGATGATAGGTATGGGTAGACAAAGATGATCCAACATAAATATAATTCATACCCCTCAGTGGAAAACCTCACAAATAGTACAGAAATAGTTTTCAGAAATATGATAGAAGAAAATATTCCTAATATTAAACAAGAACTGAATCTGAAGATTGAAAAAACATACCTTATTGTAGGAGAAGTTGATGTGGAGTGACTGACAGAGATGTGTGTGAGTTGAGCTAGTCATCTACAGTGGGGAAAGAGTCAGCCTGGCCTCAAGATTTTTCATGGCACATTCAGTGCCAAAAACAAGAGAGTGATGTCTATACTTTTAAGGAGAAGAGATCTGAATTTAAAATAAACTCTCAAGAATGGGGAGGAGAGGAGAGGAGACAAACAGCAATTTGGGGGATAAAAGACAGATGGGTGGTAAATAACCCAGCAGATCAAAACAAAATTTCTAAGCAAGTATGGGAGAAAGTCAAGAAACCAACGAAGCTTTACACTGAAGTCATCAAAGGCTCAAAAATTAGTGACACCAGGTACCTCTGGAGGAGGGTGTGGGAGGCAGTTAAGATAGACTGTTTGAAAGTCCATCTAAGAAACAGTGAGTCTCACCTCGCACCACTCTCCAGAGCACTTTCCACACACTGGCAAATGCCTGGAAGGGTGTTTTGCAGAGAGGGTTAAACCCAAGGGTCTCTTGACTAGGGGGCACTAGGTTTGTGTGACAATATGGGTGCCATGCCAGCATCGTATTTAAGTGCACAGATACATACTGAATCCTGAGGCCTCTTCTCCTACTCAGCTCCCAAAATTCGGGAAGCCAGCCCTTCACTCTCCTCTGGCCCAAGACTGGTGGAGCCTTGTTTCTCAGGGGACTCTGGCAAGCCCATAAGGAAAGACCTAAAGCTACTGAATAAGGGTCCCCAAATAAACTTCCCAGTTAGCTAATCTGACAGTGAAGCTCAAATTCAGTAAGCTCTAGACAGAAGCTCAGAGCTTTCAAACTTTAAAAACATTTTTTTAGAAAATTGAGGCATCATTTACTTACAGTAAAATGATTTTTTTAGATATACATTTCTATGCATTCAAACATAGTTGTAAAACCACCATTATAACCAAGGTGTAGAACAGTTTCATCTCCTCCAAAATCAGGCACTTTTAAATGTCCAGCATTTAAGCTGAGCAGACAAAGATGATCAGACCTGAAAGAAATGAATGATGCCGCTATTGTCAGAGATAATGTATTACAATCATGAAAAGAGAATAGGACATGCTGTCAAAAGTAACATTCAGAGAAACAAAAGACAGCTATCAGGAGTACTGAATATGATAACAGAAATTAAAAACCCAGTGGATGAGTATTTACCCCAGAGAAATGAAGACTTACGTTGATTTCTGTATGTTCACAAATGTTTATAGCAGCTTTATTCCTAGTAGCCCTAAACTGGAAACGACTGAAATGTGAATGTGACAACTGAAGGTGAATGAGTAAACTCATGGTGGTACATCCATTCCGTGGAATACTACTCAGCAATGAAGATGGATGAACACGAGTGACAGTATGGAAAATGGCAGAAGGAAAGCTCTAGGAATCCACTCCTCCACCAAGACAACAATTGGACTGGCAATAAGTGTTTGAAGCAGTTCTTTTGGAATTCTGGAGTTTAGTCAAATACTTTCAGCATCAAGGGGGCAGCTTGATGAAGAGACGGGGA